TGTATTATGTTCTATTATTATATTATATTATATTATATTATATTATATTATATTATATTATATTGTATTATATTATATTATATTATAATTTATTGTATTATATTATATTATTATATTATGTTCTATTATTATATTATATTATATTATATTATATTATATTATATTATCATATTATATTATGTTCTATTATTATAATATATTATATTATAATATATTGTATTATATTATATTATATTATTGTATTATATTATGTTCTATTGTTATATTATATTATATTATATTATATTATATTATTATATTATATTATATTATTATATATTGTATTATATTATATTATATTATTTTATTATATTATGTTCTATTATTATATATTATATTATATTATATTATATTATATTATATTATATTATATTATATTATATTATATTATATCATATTATATTATATTATATTATATTATATTTGTAATTAAATTAAGAAATGAAATCAAATTAAATAGAAAAAAACTTACAAAGTAGTTGCCACAACAACATTTTTGTCTTTTTCTCAACTACAAATAAATGTATTTTAAAAAATTATATTTCAACAAAAATTAAAACACTTTTATATTAATTTTAATAATTGTTGGTTACAAAATAACATTTTGAATGATTGAAAGAACACTCAACTAAAAACAAAACTTATTTTGAATAAATGAAACTGAAATTTTTGGGCGGCACGATGTCTCAGTGGTTAGACTTGTGACCTCATAGCAAGAACGTTGCTGGTTCGAGTCCTGGCTGTATCAGTTGGCGTTTCTGTGTGGAGTTTGCATGTTCTCCCTGTGTTGGCGTGGGTTTCCTCCGGGTGCTCTGGTTTCCCCCACAGTCCAAACACATGCGCTATAGGGGAACTGATCAACTAAACTAGCCATAGTGTATGAGTGTGTGTATGTGTGAGCGTGTTTGGGTGTTTCCCAGTACTGGGCTGCTGCTGGAAGGGCATCTGCTGTGCAAAACTAATGCTGGAATAGTTGGCGGTTCATTCTGCTGTGCAGAACCCTGATAAATAAAGGGACTAGGTTAAAGGAAAATGAATGGATGGATGAAACTGAAATAAAAAAATAAACATTAAAAAACATTTTTTTAGAAATAAATCAGTGACAAAAATTAACTAGAACAAAAAAAGAACGTAACTTCACTTAGTTGCCGTGACAACACTTTGAACTACAAACCTCTTTAAGCTTTTTTTTCTTCAACTACAAAAAAATGAAGTGAACATACAAATATTCAGGACTTGAAATAATAATAATAATAATAATAATAATAATAATACATTTAAGGAGACTAATAAATTGAAGGAGAATAATACAATTAAGGAGAATAATAAAATGCTAATAAAATTAAGGAGAAAAGAAGCTTGTTGCCATGGGAACATTTATCCTTTTCTCAAATACGAAAATACTTAATATATTAAAAATATTTTAATAAATATTTAAAAACCTATCAAATGGATGACAATAATATGCACAGACTCATTTTATTCCTAAAATACGTTTACAAGAAGAAAATATGTAATACTGAAATATTCATAAACAAAAAAGTAAAGATTTAAAATAAAGCAACTGAAATTTCATAAAAAATCTGTAAAATATCATTTAAATTAATATTTTCTAAAATGTAAATGAACCTGATGAAGGCTGACGGCTGAAATTGAATAAATTTATTTAATAAATATATTTATTTATTTATTTATTTATTTATTTATTTATTTATTTATTTATTTATTTATTTATTTATTTATTTATTTTATGTCAATAGTGTTATGTTTATTTTTAAAATATATTTAAAATGATTTTTAAAAAAAAATAAATATTTCAGTTTATTTAATAAATTAGTGCAGACATTTCATTTGAATAAATTTAGTTTTGGGTGCCAGGGTGGCGCAGTAGGTAGTGCTGTCGCCAGATTAATAAAGGGAGTAAACTGAAAACAAAATGAATGAACGAATGAACAAACAATCGAATGAATGAACGAACAAACAAACGAACGAACGAATGAACGAACGAACGAATGAACGAACGAACGAACGAACGAATGAACGAACGAACGAACGAACGAACGAATGTCTCGGCATCAAACTCATCTAGAAGAGTGCTGTGATTTACATTTAAACTAAAATGCAAATTAAAATAATCTGTGTTTGAAATGAAATGACAAGAATTTAAACTTCACCTAATTACTATGATGAAATCTATCATTTTTATTAATTCAATTACAGATACATTAATTAAAACCTAAAAACTGTACATTACAATGAATAATATATCTATACAATTTTCACAGTATGTCTGATAATATTTGTTCTTCTGGATAAAGTGTTTTGTTTTTTGTTTTTGTTTTATTTTGGCTAGAATAAAAGCAGCTTTTAATTGTTTTAATGTCATTTTAAGCTCAATATTACAATATTATTATTATTAGCCCCTTTAAGCAATATTAGTGTTGGATAGTCTCCAGAACAAACCACTCTTATAAAATGACTTGCCTAATGACCCTAACTTTACCCTAATTACCCTAGTGAAGCCTTTACATGTCACTTTAAGCTGAACCCTAGTGTCTTGAAGAATATCTAGTCTAATATTATTTACCGTCATCATGACAAAGAGAAAATAAATCAGTTATTAGAGATGAGTTATTAACACGGTTATGATTAGAAATGTGTCTCTCCGTTAAACAGAAACTGGAGAAAAATTTACAGAAGGGATAATAATTAATAATAGGCTAATAATTCTGTACCCCTGTATATATACAAAAAAACACACAACAGCATTATTAAAACAGAAAGCAAGCTTATTATTTGACTATAGATCTGCATATACAGTACGTGACCTATATGATAATTCAGAATAGACCTGATCTCAGTGCAGCACTTGTTGCATGATGAGAGTGATATTGTGTTGTTGAGTGAGAGTTGTCGTATGCTGCAGTGTTATTGTGAATGCTGTGTGCTGTCTGAGGACTCTGGAGCAGCTTTATTTTCGCCCTCGCTCTATTCAGATGTCTCTGGTTATCACGGATCTGCTGAAACTTGTGCTTAATAATGTTGTGTGTGATGCTCTGCGTGTCCGAGACTCCTTTAATTAGCTCTGCCATTACTGTGACACGCTCGCCGCTTCCCAGCATGCACTAATGAAGCATCAGGTGTCCAGACGGCGGCAAAATGAGCACAGCGGGCGGCCAATCAGAGCGCAGTCTGCTCTCACCTGTCAGAGAGAGACACCTGAGAGAGAGAGAGAGAGAGAGAGAGAGAGTGTGTGTCTGTGTGTGTCCGTGTGTGTGTGAGAGAGAGAGGGTGTAACTGAAAAAAGAGAGAGTCAAGGACAGATGAACATGATTTATAATAATTCAAACACTGATGTTCATGCAAAAAACAACAGTCTGACTCCATCGGTTTATTAGGTATCAGTCTGGAACAGTCATGGTTAGTCCTGATCAATCTGGATCAGTTTTGATCAGTCTGGATCAGTCGTGGTTAGTCCTGATCAATCTGGATCAGTTTTGATCAGTCTGGATCAGTCTTGGTTAGTCCTGATCAATCTGGATCAGTTTTGATCAGTCTGGCTCAGTCTGGATTAGTCGTGGTTAGTCCTGATCAATCTGGATCAGTCTGGATCAGTCTGGATCAGTCTTGGTTAGTCCTGGATCAATCTGGATCAGTCTGCCATAATCAGTTTCTGTTAACCTTGATCAGTGTAGGCCGGTCTGGACCAGTTTTGGTCATTCTGGACCAGTCTATGTTAATATTGGTCATTCTAGATCAGTCTGGCTCATATTTGGTCAGTCTGTACCAGTCTTGTTCAGTCTTGGCTATTTCTGGTCAATCTAGGTCAGGCTTGATCTCTGCCATCTAGATCAGTTTAGGCCGGTCTAGACCAGCCTTGGTCATTCTTAATCAGTCTATGTTAGTATTGGTCAATCAAGAACAGTATATATCAGCCTGGATCAGTCTAGATCAGTTTGGGTCTGTCTGGATCAGTCTCAGTCTGGATCAGTCTGAACTAGATTTGGTAAGTCCTGGTCAACCTGGATCTTGATCAGTCTGCCATGACCAGTCTCTGTTATCACTGTAGGCCGGTCTGGAACAGTCTTGGTCATTCTGGATCAGTCTATGTTAGTCTTGTCCACTCTATATACCACTCCGGTCTCCATTAGTCTGCATCCGTCTTGGTTAGTCTGGCTCAGTCTAGACAACTCCAGATCCGTCTTGACCAATCTGGACCAGTTTTAGTCAGTCTGGATCAGTCTTAGAAAGTCTGGATTTGTCTGGGTCAGTCTGAATTAGTTTTGGTTAGTCCTGGTCAATGTGAATCAGTTTTGGTCAGCCTACCATGATCAGTCTCTGTTATCTTGATCAGTGTAGGTTGGACTGGACCAGTCTTGGTCATTCTGGAGCAGTCTCTGTTAGTTTTGATCAGTCTGGATTATATAGTTCAGTCTGGACCAGTCTCCATTAGTCTGGATCAGTCTCTGTTAGTCTGGATCACTGTAGATAAATCCAGGTTCGTCTTGAACAGTCTGGATAAGTTTGGGTCAGGCTGTACCAGTTTCGGTCAGTTTGGATCCGTCTCTGTTAGTTTTGGTCAGTCCTGGTCAGTCTGGATCTGTCTGAATTAGTCTTGGTCAATCTAGGTCAGTCTTAATCTGTACCATCTTAATCAGTGTAGGCCAGTCTGGACGAGCCTTGGTCAGTCTGGATCAGCCTATGTTAGTTTTGGTCACTCTAGATAAGTCTGGATCAGTCTAAACCAGTCTGGATTAGTATCAGTCAGTCTGTACCAGTCTTGTTCAGCCTGGATCAGTCTCTGTTAGTTTTGCTCAGGCTGGATCAACAAGATCAGTCTGGACAGTTTCTTTTTCAGTCTCCAGACAGTTTCAGTCTCCATTAGTCTGGGTCAGTTTCTGTTAGTCTGGATCAGTGTAGATCAGTCCAGACCCGTCTTGACCATTCTGGACAGTCTGTACCATCTTAATCGGCCAGTCTGGACCAGCCTTGGTCAGTCTGGATGAGCCCATGTTAGTCTTGGTCACTCTAGATCCGTCTGGACTAATCTCCATTAGTCTGGGTCAGTTTCTGTTAGTCTGGATCAGTGTAGATCAGTCCAGATCCGTTGGCCATTCTGGACAGTCTTTAGTCAATCTGGTTTAGTCTTTGTTAGTTTGGTCAAACTGGGTCATCTTAATCAGTTTTGGTCAATCTGGATCAGTCTTGGTCAGTCCTGGTCTGTCTAGATCAGTCTTGTTCTGTACTCACTTGGTCAGTTTGGATCAGTACTGTATATGTGAGTTTTGGATAATCTTGATTAGTCTGGATCGGTCTAGATCAGTTTTCATCAGTTTGGATCAGTTTAAATTGGACTCCATCAGTCTAAACCAGTCTGCATTAGTCTGGATCAGTGAGCAGTGGGGGGGGTTCAGCAGGGACTGTCAGGGTCTTAAGTGTATCTTCCAATCAGACGGCTGCGCTGCTGGAGAGACTGTGAGTCATGTGATGCAGCAGGGGTTGTGAAGGTCATTAGTGCTGTCGTCCAATCAGACGCTGCGCTGTGGACGGGCTCATAAACAGGTAGTCCAGCAGAGGTGTGAGGATCCGCCGGCCTTCATCACAGCTAATTGGCCAGAGCAGGAGCAGAGAGAGCAGACTCTCGTTATGATATCCTCCCGCAGCTGCTGACTAATTACTCCTGCAGACAGGAAGTGCTCGCTACTCTCCTCAACCTACCCTGATTAACACTGCTGTAAATCACAGCCACGCCGCTGCTCAGGTTGATGAGAAACTAATGAAACAACACATGCGAGGCTCGAGCGCACTATACTGTACATCTATATAGGCAACACTTCACTCACACAGCCCACACCACACACACGCTGAGAGCTGTCATCACTGCATCTCTGCGCTCTGTCAGAGGATTGTCACACAGCAGTCTGGAATACTCACTTCTGATTGGTCAGATCTGTTATTCCCAGATGACCCCCGCCGAATAACACACACTGTTATTATTTCATCAATTATTAATTATTGAATTATGAATGAATTATGAAACTAATTGTTCTGTCGGCTAATTCCATGGCTGAAATGTGGATTTATTCATATGATCTTGTGTGTGTGTGTGTGTGTGAGTGACTGTGTGTGAGTTGAATGAGTGTATGTGAGTAAATAAGAGTGTGTGTGTGTATTTGTGTGTGCGTGTGTGTACGTGTGAGGTAGTGAGTGTGTGTGTGTGTACGTGCATGTGTAAGTGTGTGTTGGAATGAGTGAGTGTGTGTGATTGTTTGTATGTGTGCAAAAGTGTGTGTGTGTGTTTGTGTGTGTTTGTGTGAGTGACTGTGTGTGAGTTGAGTGAGTGTATGTAAGTGAGTAAATGAGAGTGTGTGTGTGTGTGTGTACGTGCATGTGTGCCGTGTGTGTGTAGGAATGAGTGAGTGAGTGTGTGTGTGTGTACGTGCATGTGTAAGTGTGTGTTGCAATGAGTGAGTGTGTGTGTGTGTGTTTGTATGTGTGCGCATGTGTGTGCGAGTTGAATGAGTGAGTATTTGTTAGTGAGTGAGTGTGTGAGTGTTTGTGTGTGTGTACATGCGTGTGTGTGTAGGTGTAAGTGTAAGAAGGAGTGTGTGTGAGTGATTGTGCGTTTGTGTGTGTGTGTGTGCGTGCGTGTGTGTGTGTGTGTGTGTGTGTTCACGTGTATGAATTAGTGTGTGTGAGAGTGAGTGTGCGCATGTGTGTGCGAGTTGAATGAGTGAGTATTTGTGTGTTAGAGAGTGAGTTTGTGAGTGTTTGTGTGTGTG